CACACACACACACACACACCCCTACACACACACACACACACACACACACCCCCTACACACACACACACACCCCTACACACACACACCCCTACACACACACACACACACACACACACACACACACACACACACAGGCTCCATTCTTCCCATGCCCCCAACCTTCACTGCAAGGAGTGAGGACACTTGGTGTGATCCATTTCCTTTTCCAATTTGTCAAGCGATGTGCAGCTCATGTCACCCCTTCACTGACTGCTCTTTGAGAAGAGAGCAATGAGCTACTTTCTTGAACTTCTGCAGTTTATTTGGGTAAGGTTTTTAAAGGCTCTTCCTCATCTATTTCAGAGGATTCAATAAAGATTCAATATGGAAGCCAGCCTGGGTGAGGATGGAAGCTTTCCTTCCCTAAAGGGCGGTCAGATGAGGTTTTACAGCAATTGATGATAGTTGCCTGGTCACCAGGACTGAAACCAGCTTTCAATTCTAGATTTTTTATCCTCCATCTTTATGGCTACTGGCCATCCCTAATTGTTTTGAGGTCACATGTATTTAAGGATGAGAGATTTCGTTCCCTAAAGGGTTTTAGTGACCCAGATGGGTTACGTGGTTACCATTAGGCTAGCTTTTTATTCCTGATTCTTATTGAATTAATATTTCACTATCTGCAATAGTGGGATTCGAGTCCAGGTCCCCCGGAGCAAGAGTCTGGTTCTTTGGATTGCCAGCCCAGTGACATTACCACTACGCCACTGGCTAGCCCAGCTACCTGGGGGATTCAAAGCCATATGTCCAGAGCATTACCAGCCTCTATATTACCTCTATACTACTGTCCCCCATGCCCACAAATTGCACAGTCCCCTCATCCGAATCATTAACATCATTATGATGTGATTGTGAATAGCTGAGGTCCTGGTCTTGATCCTTGCTACAATCCACTTTCCACAGCCTGCTAGCCCTGAAAATGTTAACATATTCCTGCACTCGGTTTTCTGTCTGCTAACCGATCCACAAGCCAACAAACACCTGAGCCGCATTAAAACCTTTTGTGATACCTTGTCGATTAAGTTTAGGAATCCAAATATGCCACATCTTCTGGTTCAGCCCAGATCACCCAGTTAATCTTACCCACCATAAACACAACCTGATCTGTCAACCTGTTTTCTGAAACCAGATTCCCTCTGCCTTATCCTGTCGTGGTTTGCTGAGTGCCATTAGCAGCTCGTGAATCAGGATTCTGGCATTTTCACAGCAGCTACCATCATTCTATCTGGTCTGGAGTTGCCAATTTTCTCTCGCTGTCTTTTCTTCAGCAATGGGGTAGCATTTGTTGAACAATGCTCGCAAAATTTGACACCATCCACTCAATTGATACTCCATCCACCACCTTCAATACTCACTCTCTCCACCACTTATGCTCAGTGTGTGCCATCCGAAAGATGCATCACAGCAGCACCTTCCAAACCCACAACCACTTCCATCTAGAAGGACAAGGGCAGCAGATACATGGGAACACCGACCCCTGCAAGTTCCCCTCCGAGCCACTCACCATCGAACATATATCGCCATTCCTTTGATATAGCTGAGTTAAAACATGGAACTCTCTCCCTAACAGCCCCCTTTAGGTGCACCTACACCCCAGTGACTGTAGCCATTCAAGAAGGTGTTTCAGCACCACTTTCTCAAGGACAATTAGAGATAGACAACAAATGCTGGTCCGGCAAGTGATATCCACATCCAGTAAACAAACTCAAAGAAAGTTGAGCTCCCTGATGTCACCTACAAGAAGAGGTCATGGTCCAGTTGGTTTAACATTATCTCTGTCTCTCTCCCTCCATCTTGTCTCTCTCTCTCTCCCTCTCTGTCCATCTGATCTCTCTCCCTCTTCTTGTGTCTCTCTTTTTTTCTTCTCTTATCTCTCTGTCCCTCACTCTTGTCTCTCCCTCTCTCTCGTTCTGTCTGCCTCTCTCTCTCTCTCTCTCTGTCTCATCTTTGAGTTGTGTCCTCCACTGTAACATAAATAACACAGCAATTGCCAATTTACGCACAGCAAGATTCCACAAGCAGCAGTGTGCAAAAGGCCCAGATCATTTTCTTCCTCTTAGCAATGTCAACTAAGGAATTAATCTTGATATCAGGAAGGACATCCATCTCCAACCCCAATCACACACCCACACCTCTCCCAAATAGGAGGGTTCTGTTATGTCGCTTGTGTTTATTTTCCTCGGATTTTTATTGTAAGCCATTCCTAACCTCAGAGGTCCTGTCTTTCAGGAGGGCCGTTAAACCCAAGGCTCCCTCACTCGGGCTGATTAAGAGAACCCTGGGGCTTCCATCAGGGAGAAGAGACTCAAGGGAGCCCTGGCTCTGGCAGAAGTGGGTCAACCGGTCCCTCTAGCTGCGTTGCTGTTTGTGGGATCTTGCTGTGTGCAGACGGCATTTCTGACGTGACAGCAACGATTACCTGTGAGGAAGCATTCTCGCCGAGTGGGAGATGGCGCGGGACAAGCGAGCACGGGGTGTTTTTTCACATCCTCTTGGAGCCCGCCTCTAATTCTAACCCCCCACCCCCACCCCACCTCCCCGACCCATCTCCAGGCTCTGTACGAAGTCTGCGGGAAAGATATCACCACCAAAATAATGCTGCCCACTATCCTGCGGATGGGGAGTGATGCCGTGGCGAACGTTCGTTTCAATGTGGCCAAGACGCTGCAAAAGATCGGGTCCATCCTGGATTACAGGCAAGTGGAGCTGTCTTAATATGTGCCAGGCTAGATATCCTTCCCAACTCCCACTTTTAATATAATAATCTGTTTCCTTTGTGGCTTACCCGAACAGCGCGTTTACTTTGCTTTCGCGCGTTTACTTTGCTTTCGCGCGTTTA